TAGGAAATGATATGATCAGATTTGCATTTTAAAAATGTAACTCTTTCTGCTGCGTGAAGAACTGGTGAAAGGGCTTCAGAATGGTTGAGGGAAAACCAACTAGAAGGCTAGCATAGGAATCTAGGTGACGGTGGCTGGATGAAAAGGTGGCAATGAGGTGGTAACAGCCATTGGTTTTGGTGGTGATTAGGCAATGGGTGAAAGAGACAGCTCTCGAGAGTGGGCATTTGTATTCAGTCCACTTTGAGATTTTGCCACAGCTGTGATGAAGACAGAGGTTTAGGGTCATATATATAGGAAAGCTATGGAAGAGAAAGATCAAGGAATTCAGTCAAATGGTGTTTGTGTCATTGCGGAACAACTACCTTGCCCTCCATGAACTTAGGATCTGCTAAGATGAGCCTGGTACCCAAGAGCCATTTATAGTGCTTGAGATCAGATGAACACTGGCTAAGAGAGTTAGCTAAGAGAGATGCTGACACCGTGTGACTTAGGAGTCAAGGGAATGGAAGGGCTAGCGTGGTCCAGGTCAGACAGCTCTTTCTACAGAACGAAGCACATGAGCAGCTTTCAAAATCCTTTTAACTCTTCCCTAAAATCCATATAGCAAACTCAATGTGTCTGGCATAACACTGGAAACAGGTATTTCTTGTGCTCACATTAAATACCAACCATGCTCATTTTGTGGACACCTCCTTCTAACAAAAGTATACATATTCTGCTCTTGACAAGCAACTGATATCTACAAATGCCAAAAATCAAACCTAGACATTTTAAATATTTGTGATCATTAGATCCCATTGTATAAACTTTTAAAAAATAATAAAGCAAATTTCTATTTGGGTAGGAAAGTGGCAAATTAGAAATGTACAATTAGCACTTAAATAAATGGATAGAAGTAGCTCAGGAACTCTTTGCAGGCTGCAGCCATGTGACACCGCCCAGGTTTGCAGCTTTGCAAGTGGTTTTGTTCTCACAAAGTGAGACGCAGCAGGCGCTCTCTGGCTTGGGCTCAGAGACCCAGGGTCTGCCTGGACCTGGAAACAGCAGCAGAGCACAATCTGTTCCAAGGCCCCGTCCTCAGCACCCGAGGAGGACAGACCTTGCTAATCACATAAGGTAGAAAAGTCGTTCTTTTTCTGCCACACTGTTAATGTCGGGGGAGGACCTGGGAGGGAGTGGGCACACAGAAAGGGTGACTTTGCCTTTTGCTCTGTGTACTTCTCTATCATTTGCATGTTAAAAGTTAGAATTCTACTAATATAATTTTTTTAAACGAAAAATGAATATTTTTCTTTTACCTACATACCTCATGATATCCCTCAATTCCCCTGGTTCAGATTTATGTGAAAACAATTGGTTTCCATGTTATGTGAAGGAGCCCATGGTCTACTCAAAGATGGTGAAGCTCTCAGTATGAGCTTCCAAAGCAAATAACTGGTTATTTTAACCCTAGTTACTGCATTCTTCAAAAGGCTCAGGGTTACATGCCCAAGCCCTTGGGGAGGCCCATAACCACTAACTGTGCGGGGCTATTAATGAGGAGGTGGCAGACACAGGCAGCAGGAGTCTCGTGTGCTGAGACAACACACAGAAGGGTCTGCAGGAAGACGTGCAAAGGGAGATTCCTGACATTGTGCAGGTCACATGTCCCACTCTTCCCCCAAATCTGGGAGGGAACAATAAACTGGCTGGCATTTGCTAACCTTTAATGGTGCAGACTGTTGACCCATACAGTAGAGCATTCTAAATAGCAAACGAGGGGAAAACAGCATCTCGTTAAAGTCAATATGAGAAGGACACTTTACGATCACATCGATCTCATGGGCTGGGGTACTGAAAACATGACGTGACATCCCCAAAGGAGAGACTGAATAAAATGAATAGAAAGGTGTTGGAGACATACTGATGAAGCCGAGTACCTTCTACTTGTCCCTCCAGATCCGCCCTCTGCCCTTCCTCAACCTGTTCTGTGCTCCTGCCTTGACAGACACCAACAGGCTGCAGGTGCCCCACCCCCAGCCCTGGCTTCTGGGTGGGGCCGTGGCTGCTCACAGGAAAGGAAGGGAGAGAGCTGGGCGCCTACTGCCCTGTTCTCTCTGGGGCTTGCCTGGGGCTGGCCGTGTCTCTCGTGTGGCCTGAGCTCCACACACGAGTATTTTCTCCAGGTCTAGTGATCTCCTTCCCTCGCCTCTCCATGCCTGGGGTGATAGGGCTTCCCACTGTTATTAGCCCTGGCTGTACTGCAGTGTCCCTACACCTTGCCCATCCTTTGTAATATGCCCTTTATTCAATTCTCAAATCATTCAATTTGAGCATGTCATTTTTTTTCCTGCCAAGTCTCAGATATACCATGAAAGGAAGTTCTTAATTAGAGTTCTGGTGTCCTGAAAGTTCTGGTGGACATTTGTCATTCTTTCTGTACCTTCCATGACCTCCCTCCCCCAGCACCACCCAGCATCTGAGCTTTCTTGTCTGGGGATTTTTCTACCTCATGAGTTTTGATGGGAGGAAGAGACCAAAAACTCCAGACACTCACTTCCCAGCCTCCCTTGCAGCTAGGGCTTAGACATGTGATCCAAGCTCAACCAATCAGATGATGTGTGACTCCTGGCATGACATGGGATGAGCAGGTTCCACAGGGAACCCATTCTGGCTGGGCAGCAGCACTGAGAGCAAGGGCAGTTTCCAGAGCGAGCCGCAGAGTCGGGCATCAGGCGTGGAGTGTGGTGGTGCTGCTGGCGGAGTCTACACCCAGCAGTGGTGGCAGACTGGTTCTCTGCAGAGTCCGTGTGTTGCCTGAACGAACCAGAGCTGTTATACAGCTTGAAACTAAGAACGCTGCCTGACATGAAAACCAAGCCAACTCTTTCTGACCCACAGACTCTGGCATCCTAAAATCCTCATCTTATCTCATTTTAAGTTACAAAATTAATCCATGTTTGAGCATCCACTGTGTTTCCGTTACCGTGCTAGGTGCTGCAAAGGTAATTAAGATTGACAAGTCAGTAACTACAGTGACCACCACACACACATGATGGAGCCTTGGTTTTTGGAATAGAGATAAAAAGTGACTAATCCTGACGGGAAGGGTTTGGAGTGTGAGGGAAGAGCAGGAGTAGGGAGTGGCGGTGTGGAACTGCCTGGGGACGAAGGTGACTGGAAGGGCTGGCGGAGAGCAGAGGAGGGGCTGCGGGCTGGGGCTGGGAAAGTGAGCCCAGGCCCAGCTGCAACCTCTGGACTCACTCTCTGGGCGAGCAGGCGCAGCGCTGGCACGGGCTGGGAAGACGGACTGAAGAGGGGGGAAGGAAGCAAGAAACCTTCGCACAAAGATCCACCACCACGGCCCCCGTGGACTTGGAAAGGGAGAGGTCCAAGAACACTGAAAGAGGCAGGAGTCAGGGACTGCGCTCTGCGGGGCGTGGAGGACCGAGCACTCCAAGATGGTCCTCAAGTTCCAGCTCAAGAGGGCGCTCGGGGCAACGCTTCTAACTGATATGGGGACCCTTCGAGTGCCGGTTTGGGGTGGAGGGAGAAAAATGGTATTGACTTTAGGCATTCCCAAATCTTTTCTGTTTTAAGGATGGACTAACACATGCTTTTTTCTAAGCTGGGATCTTGTCTCAAATCACTGCTCTGTTCAGAAGAGAGGATGGGGTTGTTTTAAACCTGGTTGCTACCACTCAATTTCCTTGCTATTTATGGGGCTATTCTATTTGCTATAGGCATACCACAGCCTCAGATCATATCATCGTCTGGGGTGTTCCCAGGCTGGCAGTTCGGTACATATAGCTCTTTGGAAGGGCTAAAAGTAAGCTCTTTAAAGTCTCCCCAAATGTACCTTCTCTCCACCGTGGGGTGTCAGTGTGGCTGGACCTGCGTATCCGGCCCACTGCCGGTCCCTGCCTAGGGAGGTCACTGGGCCCAGCACCAACAGGAGCCCTCTCCTCGGCCTGTCTGCCATTGGCCTTCTCTGTTCCTTCCCTGGCTCTGGTTTCTCCTGCCAAGCTCAGTTCTAAGAGCTGGCAATAACTAGCCAGGCCTTCCCCAAACATTCTTTTTATGTCAACTTAGAAACTTCAAGAACGTATTTGGATCTGCTTCCTATGGCACTACAGCGCATCTGTGGCAGCATTTGCCTCCGCTATAAATAGTAGTTCTCCTAGCTGGCTTTTTATTAAGAAGTGTGTGGATCTAGCGTCTGATGTCATCTTGCTACCGGTGTACACTTTGCTAAAAGAAACACATTTTACCAATGAATAACTTTCATTTACAAATTCCCAGCTAGCACCATGCAATAAGTACTATCCTATAATGTTACTCATTTGTGAAAGTACAAAACGATAACTGGTATAGGCTTGGAGATGTTTTCTGGAAACCAAATACAGGAACAGCTTTGTTATTCCACACCTAGTGAAACAGATATGAGGTCCTTTATTCATTTCTGCTTTCTTCTTTAACAATTATCTATAAAGTGGTGATAGTCTCTACCAGACCAAGAGCTCTCGGAGAATGGAACCAACTTCTAATCCATATCTAAATCCACACCACCTGGTACAATGCATGTTACATGGTTGGGGTCAAATAAAAGTTGGTTGAATTAATCAATACATGGCAAGATAACTCAGAGAGATGGGAGTAATTCCCTCAGCCATGGTGACTGCACAAGTGACATTGTTTGGGCACTGGTAACGCTTGAGGCAGAGTTGGTGACTACGACCATGTACTGTGAACATTTCAAATGAGTAGGGAAACTTACTCATGTATAAGCAAGGCAGTAATGAAACCAACACTGTCCTGGAGATTTTTCTGAAGTTCTAACTGTGCTATATAAGCAATAAATTATGAAAGCCGAGCATGTGAATAAAATTTAATGTGGTCATAAATTTTATGACAAAGTTAATCTGACACATTTAATGATATGCATAATTGGTATTATGCAGCACTGTAATCAGACATTAATAATAAGCAGTTCATACCAATGACTGTAATGACTTTACCTGAGTTCACCAAACCAGCTGCTTGCTATTTTCTCCCTTCTCACCGGTCAGCTCTCCGTGCCCGCAGCCCCATCAGTGGTGATGCGGTAACCGAACCCTCGCTGCCCAGACACGGAAGCCCTGCGGAAGACGGTCTCGGGCAGGGAAGGCTCTCTGCGCCCTTCCTCCACTGAAACACCTCGGGCAGCCCCGGGATCTCCCCCTTTCCGTGTGTTCCAGCAACTCCCCACTCCAGTGTCTGCATCTCTGCCTGAAAGATTTTTCTGAAATTAAAGAAAACCTCTATGACCCAAAGAAGAAATTAACACCCCCCACCCCAGAAGCTCTTACCAATGACCAAATGGACCTGGAGGATAAAATCCTCATCCCCTCCCCCTTGGGGCAGGGCAGTAATGCCAGGCTTGTCTTCCACATTGACTTGCAGATTCTTCAGTGGGCTGCCCACAGTGGCACATGACTTAGGAACACACCTTGGACAGCCTTCCTTTCCATGCCTCACTCCTCCATTCCCCCACCGGTGTCATGCGGCGTTGCCTCCAAAATAAACCACTGGCACTCGGTCCTTGTCTCCAGATCCCACTCTGGGGGAACCCAGAGTAATACACTGCTCCCTGGTGGGGCTAAAGGTCCCTGAGACGTCCTCAATCACCCACTTTAAAGGCTCTTCCTGCTCTACACACATGCACATACATGTGCACGCACGTGCGCGTGCGCGCACACACACGTGCGACCAGTCACACCCAGGCTTCCTGGAGGCCAGTTACTTGCAGGTAGCAGAAGAGCTGCACTCTAAGCCTATGCTGCCTGTCATGGGCCCCAGAAAGATGAAAGAACTATCACTGGAAGGCTGAAAAACATTCTCCGGATCAATGACAAGTAGGAACGGGTGGAGGGCAGGAGTCCACCTGGTTCAAGCAGAGAGGGGGCAGAAGAGAGAGCCTGAGCTGAGAGTCCCATTGCTCAGAAAAGGCTGCTCCAGTTGCCAGATCTACCGCAACTGTGCAGTCTAGGCATCCCTGGGCAGTAGGTCTCTGGTGATGCTGATGTCTACACCAATAGTTCCCATCTCACTCTTCTCAGGGGGGGGGCCAGGACAGTCCAGGGACTTCCAACCTGCAGTTAGGCTCAAACAGTCTTGATGGAATCACAAAAGCACGTTCACGCTTTCGGGAGGACTCATAGCTCCTTTTCTATTTTCATGGTTGGGAAGTGCTTTAGAACAGAAGGGGGAAGGGATATTTCTGTTAAATAAAAGGCAAAGAAAGGGGAAACTCGTGGTAACCAAGACAAATCACCTCATTTACATCTGTCCCGCTCTGCCTGCTGCAGCCCTGGGGTGGGGTGGAAACAAAGCGATGCCACGTACAGAGGGATCTTATGCCACCCTCCTGCAGTGGGGTGCAGTTTAGAGGGGCGAGTGATTGAGACAGAGACCCACAGAGTGTTTCATTCCAAACCAGAAACAGAAATGTACAAAATACAGCCTTCCTAGTGTCAGAAGAGAACTGAGCAGTGGTAGTGGTGACCTACCCAAAACAGAAAAGAGGACCACATGAGGTAGAGAACCAAGCCTATATGGTCCCCGGTCCCTGTGCCACTGCTCACGACCCTGCAATTTTGGGAAGGTCACTTAAAGTCTCTGGGCCTTGGTTTCTCCATCTATGAAACAAAGCCAAGACTATCCATCATAAAGTCGGGTATGAGGCCTGTGTGGGGCGCACAAGGACTACGTGCTGCTAATGGCCAGGAACAGACTCTGGGGTCCGGCTGAACAGGCTGAAATCCCTGCTTGTCACGCGGCAGCAGGGCCCTGGGCAATCTACGTGCCCTTCATTTCCTCATCTGCAAATCAAAATAATAAAAGTACCTACTTCATAAGATCATTCCCGGCTGGGTGTGGTGGTTCACGGCTGTAACTGCAGCACTTTGGGAGGCCAAGGTGGGAGGATTGCTTGAGGCTAGGAGTTCGTGACCTGCCTGGACAACATGGCAAGACCCCATCTCTTCATAAAGGATTCCCGTGATTAACTGAAATAAAGCATATATAGAATTAAGCATGGTACTTGATACTTATTATATTAGCTATTAAGAGTAATATGTAAATAGAGGTATTATATGGATGCTTAGGACACTGTAAATAAACCCTTTGCTTTCTGCGTTAGTTTTGAGCCCTTTCAGATGGCTAAAGGCAGAATTTGTATATAGAAATACGGTGTACTTGTCTCTGCTCTCGAGACAGAGGGTTTACCCGGTTACTGAAACTTGGTTAGTGGATGTTGAGCTGTCATGAGGCCTAACATTTAGTTCTAGTTACTAGATTAAATATTTGCTTTGGATGGTATTTGATTGCCAGGTTCTAGATTTTTCTGGTTGGCAAAGTCTTTGTATTTTGTAAAGAGGCAAAAATTGATAAACTGACCACAGAACAGGTGTGCTATTTTCAAGGTATATTAAACCATGATTTGCTATAACATTGTTCCTGTTGGCATCAAATTCAGAATGAAGTGAACTTTCTTTATTTGGTGAAGAAGCATTGAGCGGAAGAGTTAGGACAGTATCTTAGTTATCTTTTTTTTCCTTCAAATTATTGTGGTTTAAACATCTTGAGCTATTGTTACCATTGTCTTTTCTCCCTACCTTCAATTTGCTAAATAAATGACCAGGTACATTTCTATTTCACAGAATTTTTTAACAAAAGAAAATGTAATTCAACATTCAACATCAAACATTACAGCATTAATCAACATTAAACATTACAATTTAAAACAAATCTCACAAAGACACAAATGTGATGAGACTAAGTTTCGTTACAGTCCACTTCCCTGTGGTTTCCTCTCAGGCACATTCTTTGCTGCTAAGCTTCCAACATAATCTGAAAACGAGGCAGATGCATTTTGGAAAACAAAACTCATCTTAAGCAAAATCTTAAGCATCTCAAAATAACATTGTTGACAAAGTTTTAAAAATTAATAGTCCATTAGGTTAAAAGTTTGGGTGCCTGGGTGCTTCTGCCCGGAAACACGCTCTTTGAGGAACTTCCATGTCCGTGTAATATGACAGTCACATGACACTTTCCAAATACTAATGCAAACACACCATGTGAGGAAAACTGATATTCCATCTTTTTGAAAACATCTTGGGAAATGATCTTGGTATTTATAAAATGAAGTTCTCTTTGGGTGGTACCATAAGACACGTTAAGCCAATCAGCTTCTAACTGTTAAAAGAACAGTTATAAGTACAAACAGTACTAGGTGCACAAGAGGGATGGGAGAGGGGCAACAGAAGAAAGGACTTTTTTCATTAAGTCACAAGAAAGACACATTAATAAACCTTCAAACTGATAAGGAAATATAAATGATTCACAAATACATTCATCAGGTCATCAAATCCTGTTAAATCCCTAATTGGGAAGAGCAATGTGTATAATCTATATATTTAAAACCATGGGCTTGCTTTGCACAGTGTCGATTTACTTCTCAGCATGTTTTTAACACGTTTTCCAAAAGGAAATATGGGTAAATTGTACATATCTACTGGTAGGCACCAAAACGTAACCTGCTCAACATATGCATTCTTCCTATAGTGAAACATTTGAATGGTGTGAAGATGAGAAAAATAAATGCTCTATCATTATGTTGTGGCCAGCTTTAAGGCATGTGAATTTTGTCTTCAGGCAACAAAAGATTAAAACCCAGATATTAAAAAGCAGTGCTGTGTAACACCTTATCCCTCTATCCCCAGAATGTCAGATCACAAAATATCACTTACATAATTGCTTGTAGTTTATTCCTTTGCTTTCCTCTTTTCTTTTTGCATCTTTGTAACAATTTTTAAAAGTGGAAGCATAATTGTTGTCATGTCAACAGCTGCAGAAATGATTAAGAGGTATGGAAAAGCATAACAGGAATGCCAATAATCTGCTTCCAGCAGTAATACATACTGAACATCGTGCAGGGACAAAAGAGAAAGAAGAATAGAGAGAGGGGTCTATCATCTTTAAGAGTTTTCAAACTAAACTTCATTGCTTGATAGGAACAAAAGATCTCACATTTAAAGTTAAATCAGAGCTAACACTTGCTAAAACACTGCATCACCAGCCCTGGAATCAGGAGAATTGACTTTTTGAGGGACAGTGTTTTAGGAGGAGGAATTCAGGCTTTCAGAGCTGGGAGACAGGAAATAATTCTACCTCTGCCAGTTGAGTGACCTATAGCAAATCAGTTTACCTCTGCCAGACTACATCCACAATTTTGTACATCTAAAAATTTAATATTAATAACCACCTGAAAGTCTCATGCTGAGATGAATATGTATTTGTGAATGGTATATTGGTTTTTAAATAGCACTCTGCAAATATAAGCTATTGTTTTGTTGTTATTTGTGAAATATACTAGTTAATTTTATCCAGCTCTATATACCTACATATGCTCTTAGTGATGTCTTTTCAATAAAGGTTTATTTATTTATTTCTTGAAGCATGCTAGAGACAGCCCATCAATAGTTAAAGGTTTGTGCATAAGATGATTTGCCTAATGGGATTAACTGGATGCTTTTCTTAAACATGTAACCTTGAGTCCACCTTACAAAATAGTGTTTTGATTAGAGCAATATACATAATAAAGGTTACTTTAGTTTCTTAGACATTAAACATCATTCACAAAAGAGAAGTACTTTTGAAAGAGATGTATTTATGTTGGAAAGAAAGGATTTCTATTTCCAATTATGAATGATTTATTGGTGAAAGCAAACAATAGCCTGTCTGAGAGGCACTCCTATTAGCATCCTTATGTGTAGTTTGCAAGGTTGACGTAGAGGCAAAAATGCCCTGATGGTGCCCATGGATGTTATATGGATTTTAGTAATATTAACAAGAAATTCTCTTTTAGACATCCAAGAAAACTCTATTAAAATACATTTATTAGGGTTGGAGAAAATATCAAGACTACAAAGAAAGTTAAAAAATTACACTTCTAACCAAAGATGATAATAAATCAATGTGTTGACATACACTCTCCCAGTCTTCCATAATTACAGTTTATAGAAATTTTCTGTAAATACAACCTATAATTATTTTGTATCTTTTTTGCACTTAATATCAAATAGACTTCTAAAGATTTTTAAAGGGTGATTGTCTCAAATACATGGAGAAATGTATTTCAGTGGAAAGAATTCAGTGGGCAACAGAGATATCATGAAGAGGCCCAAATATTTTTCATCCCACTGAACAGGAACAAACATGTTCTCATTTAGAGTGAGCCGGATAACTGAGCTGACGTAGGCCTCTGCATAGTCCCGTCTAGCAGTGATCACAGGGAACAACAGCAACAAAAAAATTCTCTAAATTTGCAGCAGTGTCATTTCTTCAAACTCCCCAATCCCACCTACTACCAGCTCTGTGCTTCAGGCCTGAAATGGATCTCCCTGAAGCAATGACAGAATTTTTGCCAAGTGGCTGGGATATAAACACCCATTTGGTTGCACAGTGAGACATATGCTCTAAGAAAACTGGTTCAAAACAGGCAAGTGGGCCTCTCTAGAATACACGAGAGCACTTGACAATAGCTCATCTTCAAAGCTTCACGCCTGCGCTTCCAGGGAGCTCTCTGTTCCCTCACTGGGGAAAGGGGGCGCATTGTTTCCCTGATTCCTTACACTAATGAACTGCTATAAATCTGCTTTAGATATTCCAGGGAGCCCTAACTTCAGCTTCTGGGCAATGCTGAGGATGCACCCTATATTCCAGACTCACCTTTTGCAAGGTGTGCTCTCAGCACTGTGGGTGATTTCCAGGGGAGAATGTTCTATTTACAGAACTACTGTCCCAGCACAATAGAAAATCATTTATGAAGATGGGAGAGACTGGGAGAGCGCTCCACTCCTAACGCCAGCACAAGGCCAGCCTCCCTCCCCGCTCCCCGGGAGAGTGTGAGGAGCGCTCACCTGTGAGGAACGACTTACTCATGCTGTCGCAGGAGCGGGCACGGAAGGTCCTCCCAAGGGGACGTGGTCATACACTTCGGAGCCCAAGAGTGTGCCGTGAGGTCAGACAGGCGAGACGCCGGCTGGCTGAGACAGGGGACAGAGGAAGAAAGGCTCAGCCAGGGACAGCGTCTCCACACACCCTATTTTCAGCCTCAAACGCTGAAACCAAATCCATCTCTCAGAGAGTACATTTTAAAATGGAATATTTTTAAAACAAGAATATTTTTAAAAGGCCCATTAAAATTTTTCATACACTAAAGCAAAGGAAACCACTCTCCATTGACAGAATGTACCAATGAAACACAATGATTACCTTCACCTTTAATTTATAGGCAGCCAGATTCATAATCCTTGAAGTTGCTTAAATTTGAAAATGGGAATGACAACATAAAATGTATAACATTGAGGACCTTCCAATTAAATCCCTAGATAGAAATGAAAAAAAAAAAAATAAAATGTCATATTAAAAAAAGCCAAATCTTGAGTTGTGAAGCATCTTTTAAAGGATGTTCAGCCTGGGGTGGTGGTTCATGCCTATAATCCCAGCACTTTGGAGGCCAAGGCGGGAAGATCTCTTGAGGCCAGGAGTTTCAGCCTGGGCAACATACCAAGACTCCTTCTCTAGACCAAAATAAGAAAAATTAGCCCATAGTGGTGCCACACATCTGCAGTCCCAGCTACTCGGGAGGCTGAGGCAGGAGGATCGATCGCTTGAGCCCAGGAGTTGGAGGCTACAGTGAGCTATGATCTTGCCACTGCACTCCAGCCTGGGCAACAGAGCAAGACCTTGTCTTGCAAAAAAAAAAAAAAAAAAAAAAAAAAGAAAAAGAAAAAAAAGGAACTGTGGCTTTTCGGTAGTCATCCCGGTCGATGAGATGGGTAAGGGGTGATTGATTTAGCTTCAGTATTAAAGCAATAAAGTTTATAAGGAGACTAATACGGTTGTGACAAAATCAGATATTTCCTCAGATCCTGCCACAAAGGGTAGGAAGTTCTGTCAGTTTGGTTCCCTGATGTATGCCTGGTTCCTTCAATAAATAATACCTATCACATATACATTTGTTCAATAAATACAGAAAGAAGGAACATACGTGTTTGTGAAACTGTGCCAACTGTGTACACATTGTTACTGAGGCACAAAAATAGTATTTGTTTTAAATTTGGGGATGAGGACTTTCAGTGGAATATATCTATAAAACTCAAAGGAAGACATTAGTGTCTGGACTTACACAGCAAGAGAAGAAAAGCCACTGGCAAAGAGCCGACTCACCTGGCTTCGAGATGGTCCCGGAGCAAGCACAGGGCAGAGAAGAACGCACCTGGGATTCCAACGCCTGCTACCTGGGCACCTGAGAAGGAGGGCAGCCACACTCATGGACTGGGCAGAAAATGGCAGGTGAAGCCAAATCATGGATTATCTCATCGAATCCTTACAATTAGCCTTTAAGGTAAGTACTTGTTAACATTCCCACATTGCCAATGAGGAAATTACGCAGAGGTTATACCACTTACCAAAGGGCTCCTGCCTAGTGAGCACTGAGATGGGATTTTAGCCTTTCCTTGCATTCTGGTTTTGGAGCTACTGCATAAGAGCCACTGTGCCACATGTGCTGTCTCAGAGGAACTTACCCTTCCTGAGCCCCAGTCTATAAAATGTGGGCAGCTCAATCAATAAAACTAAAGTGCAACGGTTAAGGTTCAAGGTACTCCAAAATTCTGGTCTTTATCTAAAAAGGCTATAGAACCAACAAAATGAAGAGACAACCAACAGAATGGGAGAAAATATTCGCAAACAACTAATACTTATCTGACAAGGGGTTAATGACTAGAACATACAAGAAGCTCCAACAACTCAACAGGAAAAAAATCAAATAATCTGATTAAAAAATAGGCAAAAGTTCTGAATAGACAGCTCTCAAAAGAAGATACACAAATGGCCAACAGGCATATGACAAAATGCTCAGCATCATTAGTCATCAGAGAAACACAAACCAAAGCTACAATGGCACATCATCCCACCCCAGTTAAAATGGCTTTTGTCAAAAAGACAGGCAATAAGCAATGCTGGAGAGGACGTGGAGAAAGGGAACCCTCGTACCCTGTTGGAAATGTAAATTAGCACAACTACTATGGAGAAGAGTATGAGGGTCCCTCAAAAAACTAAAAACAGAACTACCACATGACCCAGCAATCCCACTACTGGGTATATATCCAAAAGAAAGGAAATCAGTATGTTGAAGAGACACCTGCACTCTATGTCATGGCAGCACTATTCACAATGGCCAAGACTTAGAATCATCCTAAGTGTCCACAGTAGATGAATGGATAAAGAAAATATAGTACATATGCACAATGGAATATTATTTAGCCATAAAGAATGAAATCCTACCATTTGCAGCAACATGGATGGAGCTGGAGAACATTACGTTCAGTGAAATAAGCCAGGCACGGAGACAGGTCTTGTATGTTCTCACTGATGTGTGGGAAATAAACATTAAAACAACTGGTCTCATAGATATAGGCAATGGAATGGTGGTTACCAGAGGATGGGAAGGGTAGGAGAGGGGGAGACAAAGGAAGATGGTTAACAGATGCAAAAATATAGTTAGATAGAATGAACAATATTTCATAGTGCAACAAAGTGACTACAGTCAACAGTAAGTTATGGTACATTTGAATATTTTTTAGGCCTACACCTGCTCAGGTAGTTATGGTATACCTTAAAATAACTTAAGAGAGAGGAACTGGAATGTTCCCAACACAAAGCAATACTAAATTCTTGAGGTGATGGACACCCCAGTGATCCTGATTTGACTAATACACTTTGCATGCCTGTATCACAGCATCTCATGCACCTTATAAATATAAACTATTAATACTATGTACCCACAATAATAAAAATAAAAAAATTAAAATAAAAAAGCTATAGATGTTTTACCTCAATAATATCCTATCATTTTGATATTGTTGGTGCCTTAAATATTGATTGGCATCAATTTCATAATATTTGAGGTCATAAAAAATACTCGTGAAATTTTACCACATGGTGGCAAAGCCATAGATAAATTTCAGTGTGTCTATAATTACTTGAAACTGTCACAGTATGCAGTATGTTACCACAACAACCAGAGGAAGTGCGGATTCATTCAGTCTGTCCTGCCAGACCAGTAAACACCAGGATTAAGTAGATATTTTCACTGAACCTATCCCAGGTTTCTTTGGCATTTATGGATAGCTCACTTGTCAAATATTATTTTCTAATTGTTTTATGTTTCCTAACTAGCCTCTAGTATTATTTTGGTAAGAACCTCAAACAATACTAGGCAGTGGAATAAACAGACGGTCACATTAAATGGGTGACTGAAAGAATTTCCTGGTAAGTATCTATACATTGCAATATACCTTGTTATGGCTTACTTTCAACATGTTAAAATGTAAAACATCACCTATTTTAGGGAATAACAATAAAATCCTTGTTGACAACATGCACAAATAAAAGTTTACAAGCTTAAAATATTGAATAACAGTAACTGTCATGTTTCCCCATAATAAAACTCATTTTAGTAAGGTTTTTATATCATAAAAACTCAAAATAGCTTTATGAGTTGATAAAATAATACTTTTTATCTCAAGATTTTAACATATTCTTATACCGTAAGGCTATAGGATAAAATTTGCTTGGAGAGTTAGTATTTGTTATGTTAAGAAATACTTCTTTTAATATTTTCACTTTATTTTCTGAAGACTACATAATTACATGTATCGGTAGTTAATTTTTGTTATAATTTTGTTATAAACATGATGAATAGCTTTGTTTGTGGTGATGTCAGGCAGATTTACTTGTAATAAATAAGGGTTTCATTCAGGATGATTTTTCTCTGATACAGCCAGGGGTCAAACAACTCATGCTTCCACAAGAGGACAAAATGCCTCCTGTCTGTTGGCTCTGGAAGCGAAGCAACAGTTTGTGCTGACACAGGGCATCACTGAGATGCCAGGAGGAAACAGAACTGAATTCAGACAGCCCACATGGAGAGACTTTAAGGAAGGGACACCCTCTCAAGGTGTTGGCAGGGTTGGGGGATCAACAGGAGGTGCTGAGAACCCACAGACTGGCAAACCGCCCACCCTCAGGCCAAGATAGGAAGATGGGAAGGGAATACCACTGGAGTGCGGGCCGGAGCCCAGGACAGAAGGGGCCGCTGTGCAGGAAGCACAATCCTGAAAGGGAGAGCCCACTGCCAGGGCCTTCCTGGCGTCATTCTTCACACTGGGCACTGAAGCCAGAGAGCAGGAAGAGGTACCCTAACCTCTCCTCCTCTTCTCCTCCCTCTCTCCCGCCTCCGCTGGTGCCCTCCACCGGCCAGACCCAGCCAGAAGCCAGTTGGGGGCCAGCTTCCAGGGGCAAGAACAGGGCAGGGAGAGCAGAGACGGGCTCCGTGATGGGGGAGCACACACGCTGTGAGCCTGCTCATTCCCGGACCTGTCTCCGAGGCCTGGCCGAGTGGAAAGGCCAAGTATGCGCCTCTGACCTAATTTCTAAGTCTACTAGAAAATATCGCTTGGGGATTTTTCCACTTAAAGAATAAAATAAAATAAAATAAAAACCTCTCCCATTTCCCTTGCCTTTCCCTCTCTTCAAATTCCATTTAAATTCATTCCTTCATTTTCTTCCCGATGACACACAAGTTTGCGGTTCAACAAGTCCTGCAGTGAGCAGACTTTTCTCCAAGACCCCATCCTGAGAGCTCTCTGAGCTGTGGGACATCTTTATACAATTATCAATGAACACAAGACCCAGGAAATTCCCCTAAGATCCCTCCCACAATTAGTGATAACTTGCCCCAAATATTAATCCAGTCACCCACAGATGATGACAACACTTAACCATTTCTTTGATAAATGCCAAATGCATTTTTAAAAACTTTTTATTGGTAATGATAGTGGGTTTTGTACTTCATGATTTTCAATTTATGATATCTGCCTAGTTTTTTTTTTTTTTTTTTTTTTTGGAGTAACTACTTTCCTTAAAAAAAAGTATATGCCTGAAATTCTTGTTTGAGAATTATATGCTCTCTAATATATTAATTTTGTATGTATATGCAAGTTTTATATATCTCCTGATTATAGGATAAATGTAAACAAATACGAAGAATAATTAAAGCTGCCACTTTGAAGAAGTCTTCTTAGCAGAACTGGAAGAGTCTTAAATGCAGGTCCTTAGGTGTGTGCCTCTGACGCCTGTGCAATGAAGCCCTGGGCGCGGGCGTCAAGTGTAGTGCATCTCTGCAGCGGGCACAGGCCCTAAAACAGCGTCTTGCACATTACAACACTCCATAAATGTTTGCTGAATTGGCTAAACCTTGGTTTGTCCCCATAATCAACCACGCAAACAGCACACAGATAATTACTTCTTGGAAAAATTCCAACTACTGTTTGATGTTACCTATGTGGTTTCTCTCTCAAGAGCAGCTCTGTAAGATTACACTATTTTCTGGGTTTTTTTTTGCCTTTGACCTTAATGTCATCTGCTTCAATAACAGCTTCATACTAAATTCCAACCAGCACATACCACAGCAGATTCAAGGCATCGTTTTAAAAATGGTGCTGGCATCTCTTAATTTAGAAGATATATAGTCTCCCCTTCTGAACACAGCCTAAGAAATGTGTTATTTGGAATTAACATAAGCGCTAAAGACATTTGAAATGTATTCTTTCATATTTTAAAGATCAAATTCTTTTTTAAAAAAAGAATAAAAATGTTACCAACAAACCTGGCCTTCATTAAAATGTAATCCTGCATTTTTCTACATTTAATAAAAATGTCCAATTACAAAGCTGATTTTGAAAGGTGACTTTTTAAACTTAAACAGCAAAAACGTTGCATTTAAAATGAATCAGAATAGACAAAAAAAAAAAAAAAAGACAGACCCAGGAAGACAGAGGTTTTGGTGAAAGTTAAAATATTATTTCATCCTTTGTACACCTTAGAATCATTTCTGTATTTTATAGTCTAGATCCATGCATTAACTTGAAATGACCTTGACTCTTGAAATCCTAAATTTAACACTCCTCAGAACAAAGTAGATTTTCTCTTTTTCTTTATGAGCAAATGGACTAAATACTAGGGAAGGGGACTGTCTGGGCCTTTGAACCAAGACTAAAGGAGATGAAATCCTGTTTGATATGTATAAACATTAGAGAATCCATTTTGATTTAATAAAAGGATGACTTTGTTTCATATCCTGTGAGAAAATATTCCCCTTTTCCTGAAAATGCTCTCTCATTCCAATAATAGAGGGCTGGTTTCTTTCCATGGTGTGGGGTAGAGGGTGGAGGGTAGGTAGATTTGCCATGAATAAAATATCTATCGGGATTGCCATTATATCCATTTCTCAAAATGCACCGTGGTGGGAAATTCAGAATGCAGTGAGAGGAAATCAACCTTCACTTCACCAGAATACAAAGCCACATTTAAACCAGCAGGTAAAGCATAAACAATAACAGTACAAATTTACTATTTGCAACCTTGCAGTTTCCTAAATCTCTACATTACTTTAAAAGCCTCAGAGAAATGGTTTTATAATGCCTTACTAATATTTCAACACCTGAGGAGCCTTACCAAGTTAAGCTCTACAGGCTTGCATTTCAAAAATGACCTAACTCCAATCCTTTTTATTTTTCAGGCTCTCTCTCAGATTTTCATTTGTTTTCTTTAATTGATGAATAATGAGAAATTTTAGGTACTTGTCTACAAAGAAATGAAATGCTTATCTTTCTACAAAGCAAAAAAATGAAAAGATAAAAATCAGTTTCAACAGAATATTGTCAAAGAAATATTTTAGAATAGTGTTTTGATTATTTATTTATACTTATCTGGTTCTACTATTTGAGTTGGATCTACACTTCAAAGCTGCATCTCAAATAACATCGTGTTGGATAGCATCTGACTTCAGGTTTAGTCGAGATCTTGGAGACTGAAAAGCACCGTGACAAACACACATGTATTGTTGTGGCGACGGCATCAGTCTTTATCGCCATTCTGTGTGTGTGTAAAGTAAACGCCTGTTGTTTCCACCTGCCTGGTACCCCTGCCCTGATTTTCTTTTGGAGAACCTCTGTATTCTAGACCATGTGGAGCTAACACCAAACCCCTTTCCAGAGAAAGGTACCTGAATCCCAGCCTAGTCATCCAAACAGTCTATTCTCCATGTTCAGAAACAAGGAAGTGGCTCCAATCACCCAGTTGGTACTGCTTTCTAAGAGGCTATCATACGGAAACAACTTGTTTAAAAATGAAGCCAAAACTGGAAAACAGATCCTGGTAACACTGATTGACGGATCTAATTATACCTTAAATGGCAAGATCCACCCCTAGGCTTTTTGTATCAACCAAATAAAATCCTTAAGCCGGTTAGGTTTTGCCACTTGCAGCTAAAAGAATTCTGACTCTAAAACCTTAACAATACTAAAAATAAACCTGACTGCTTTTGAGGTTTCCAATGGATTTTCCTCCTCATATTCCTGATCTTATTTAATCCTCACAATTCATGAAAGCACATATCTATTAAATATTAAATTAACATTCATAATTTTCTGAACACAGAGTATGTCGAAGAGGAATGGGGAAAGCCAGGGGAGTAATCGATGTGAAGTCTCAGCTACAAGGGAGAGAACTGGAGGTTACCTATCCCGGAGCTCTCAATAGGTATCACCAAATGAAAGAACAAACAGCATATGGCAGAGCCAGGAGGCGATCCTTCAACTGATCCTTCACTAATCCCCGGAGGACAAATTCGGAGGCTTTTGCAGTACCTTGGACCAGAGACGATAAGTCCCCAAAAGGCAGACTTATGAGAATGGCTCAAACAACAGGACACAAAAATGGGGTCAGGTTAAACGTGAGGGTCCCTAGAGTTCTTACATCTAGATGGGTGCAGCCGATGTCACCGGGAGAGGGAAAGAAGGAAGGGGCTTAGTTTGGGAGGCAGGGAGGGAGACAAAGTTAGAGTCCGATAAACATGCACAGAGGATATATAAGCAAAGATATATACAGCAAGCCCTTAGAATGGCAGGGCTTACATCCAAGCGGCTGAGACTGGAAATACAATATGGAGAATCACTAGCATGCCCAGGGCATACCCAGGGCAGTTCAGACATGGGCTCTGCCCACCAGAGCACACTGGGAAGAGAAGAGGAAGAGGATGACCACCATCTCCTCCGGGTAACCTCAGTCCTGCTTGTGAGTGCCATGAAAACAGGCTCCCCTGCCCCCTATCCCTTGCTTTTGAATGCAGCCAGACAGGCACTCCGGAGGCGCTCAGTAAATATTTGTGCAATGACTGGCAGTGTGCGCCCGGCACTGCGAGCATGGGATTGCTTCTACAAGAGTGTTCCTCCAGGTCCCCTCCACCCAGAAGAACTGCCAGTCTTGGCCGCTACCCTGGATGCCGTCTCATTATTCAGTCTCACCTCTGAAATTAGTTCATGCTCTCACATTAGGTGTAATCACAGCTGGCGACGCTTTCTGGGGACGTCTCTGAAAGATCTGTATTGAGAAAATATTTTCATGTCATTTTAATTTAAAGTAAAATTGCTGGCTCTTCCCCCCTTCCCTGCCCCTGCGTGTTCTCCTGCCACCTTCTCAGTGATCTCCACGGGTCTCCGAACAGAGGCGTGGGTCAGTGGTGGGGTCCCCCTTCCGGGAAATTCTTTAAACAGCTATGATAAGTCTCAAGGAAACAAAGGAGACCTAGAAGTGGAAAGGCGTGGCTGTTGGCGACTCCAAGGCCGGTTCCCCACGTGGAGAGAGCGTAGCCTGGGTGGCCGCAGCCCCGCAGCAAGGAGCCCAAAGCCAAGGGGCAGTGCGGTCAGCTAGAGCCCCACGGCTCCCCAGGTCCTGAGGCTCTTGCGCTGCGGCCAAGATTCTGCCCTGGCTTGGCTGAACACGCCCTTGAGGTCGCTGGCGGTGACCAGAGGGACAAGAGCGCTGCAGGCAGCATCCCAACTGGGCTCCGCTGGGGGTCCGCAGTGACAGATCATGTGCCCCCAGTCCCGTACCTGGTTAGCTGCCCGCGCCCTGCAGGTCTCGGCCTTGCGCACCTGGGCAAGAGCGCGCCCTCCCTCACCGCCTCCGCGCTCTCCTCTCCCTGACACTCAGCGAAGGTGTGTTTTTACTTTCACGTGTGACTGCGTGCGTGCGTGTGTCTGTGTGTCTGTAGTTCCAATTCTACCCACGGGGCGAAAATTCATTTAGGGTCAAAATTACCCTCTAAAAGTCGCCTATACATCGCAGGATTTGGTGTACACACTTACGCGGGGATAAAGCGTGCCACAAAGGTGCACAGTAAATAAAAAGCATGGATGCCAAATACAAATTTTAAATTTAAAAGAGAAAAACAGGTAGACGAGCTTGCGCGCGATGCCACGGTCCTTGTCGCCGCCCCGCCTGCGGCACACTGAGGGGCACTAAGGCGGGCAGCGCCTGTTTCGCTTGTCACCGCAGCCCCGCACCCGGCAGTACCGGGTAGAGGTAGGGGTTCAAGGGTCCACCCCAGCAAGGGAGCAAACGCGCAAGGGGACAAGGGAGCGCTGTCCGACCCCCGCGGCCGTTGCGCTTGGCGGCCGAGAGCCGAGCCGGGTTCCATCCTCGCGGCCGCGGCGGGGAGCGAGCGGGGCGCGGAGACGACCGGCGTCGGGCCCTCTCGAGGTGGCGCCGAGCCCAGCCCGCGGGCACACGTGCGCCGCCCGCCGCGCGCACGCGCCCCGGCCGGCCACCAGGTGCCAGCGCCGGCCGGCCCCGCGCCCGCGGGGCGTCCCCTGCACCGCGCGGCGGTGTCGCCGGCCCGGCCGCGCCGCTCCTACCTGAGGCGGGCCACGGAGCGCGGCAGGGCCCGGGCGCGAACGGACCCCAGGCGCGAGGCCGCAAGACGGCTGGCGGCGGGCGGGCGCGGGCACGGGCGCGCGCTCCCCGCCCTCACTCGCAGTCGGCTCCGGCCACGGCCCAACCCCGCCGCCGCGCGCCGCCTGCCTCGCCGCGCCTAATAACAACGGCGCGCGGGGTCAGGTGGCCGCGCGCGGACAGCGCCGCCATTGGCTGGGCGGGGAGCGCGGCGCGCCAGGATTGGCTGGGGGGCGGAGCCTCAGGCGACGGGGCGGGGCCTAGGCGGGAGGTGGGCCGGCGGGAGGGCGGCGGGGCGGGGCCAGGCTGCGGTCCGCGCCTTTGTGCCCCGCGCGCGCTCTCCGCCCGCTCCGGCTGCAGCGCGGCTGCATCAATAATTCAGAGCGGCGGCGGCGGCGGCGGCGGGTGCGGGCAGGCGGCGGCGGCGGGCAGCAGCGGCACCGGCTATGCGTCCAAGTGCAGCTGGGCAGCCGCGGCACCCCTGAGGCCCGGGCAGGGCTCCGGGAGCGCAGCGTGGGGACGCTTGTCCGGAGTGTGAGCGGGAGCAGCAGCGTCCGGGCGGCATCGGCAGAGCTGAGCGCGGAGCCGAGGAGGGGGCTGCGGCGCGGGACTGGGCGGGGGGCGGCCGGCGCGAGCAGCCCCGGGCGGGGGCCGGGGGGCGCCGGCTGCGCAATGCTGAGCGCCGTGGAGCTGTTGTTGCTGGGGGCCGCGTGGCTGGCGGGCCCGGCCTGCGGACAGAACGAGACGGAACCCATCGTGCTGGAGGGCAAGTGCCTAGTGGTGTGCGACTCCAACCCCGCGTCCGATCCCACGGGCACAGCCCTGGGCATCTCTGTGCGCTCCGGCAGCGCCAAGGTGGCTTTCTCTGCCATCAGGAGCACCAACCACGAGCCGTCCGAGATGAGTAACCGCACCATGATCATCTACTTCGACCAGGTGAGTGCTCCGTCCTCTCGCATGCACATTTACCGTGGGGGGTCGGTGGAAGGCCGGTGCCCCGTGCTCTCCAAGGGCTGTGCGGACGCGCGGGGCGGCAGTCCGAGCCTGGCTCCTGTCCACTCCTCTCCGCTCCCGTCTCGTTGTAGGTGCTAGTGAACATCGGCAGCAACTTTGATTCCGAGCGCAGCACTTTCATCGCCCCACGTAAGGGGATCTACAGTTTTAACTTCCACGTGGTCAAGGTCTACAACAGACAGACCATCCAGGTCAGCCGCCGCCTGGGGCCAGGCCCCGGCCCCCGTAGGGCTGCTGGCCACGGGTGGGGGGTGGGGCGGGCTGTGAGGAGGTGGGAGACAGGTGGCAGCTGCATGTGCTCACACTGCGTGGAGGGACAGATGATGGACTTCACAGTACTGGGGCTTGGACTGTCCTGTGCTCTCCCTGTGGCCGGCTCCAGGGAGCCAGCCCCATCCTCAGAGACAGAGTTTTTTGCCTCGCCTTTCTGGGCCCCTCCGAAGACGTTCCCCAGATTTCCTGTGGGACTCTAGGGACTTCCTGTAACAGCGGCTGTTAGCTTCACAGACAGTGCTGCTTCTGGAAGCTTCCCGCGACCGTCGCTTTCGGGACCTCCGACAAGTACCCCCAACCCCTCGCTCCGGCTCAGGAGTCTGCGAGGCGGCTTGCGTGCTTGTCTTCAGCACCACGGACAGAGCGCCGTCGCCCTCCAACTCCCACCTGCCGGAGGCCTCCCTTTGGGGACCGACTCTGGGTTTTTAACTCGCAGTTCTGGGCCCTAGCGGGTGAGGGATGGAGCGAGGAAGGGCGTAGTGCCACTCCCTCCGGGCTCCAGCCATGTCCGAGCCCGTGCTCTCCAGCGCCCCGTGTCCCCAAAGAAGTCCACGTTTCCTTCGGGCGCAGACAGAGGCGGAACGCGCCGCTGGGGAGAGGGCGCCTGGCCCTGGTGACGATGCCACTGCAAGGGCAAAACCGGGCGGTGGCGGGCGCAGCTTCATCTGGGGCGGAATTGGCCGGCGGTTTGGGGATGAAGCGCAGAGTGCAGTGGTGCGAGATTTCTAACCAGCTCAAATCCGTGCCGTGCTTCTCCACTGTCTCCACTGGGAAAGGCCAGGGGTTTTTTGTTTTTGTTTTCCTGGGAGCCTGACTTTCTCTTTGAGGCTAGGGGAAGCAGGAGAGAGGTGGAAGGTCTCAGGGCGCTAGAGCCACCCCTGGGTTTATTAAATTGCATGACAGCAGAGTAGAGATTCGCTCAGCGCGCTCATCTGAGAAAGCGGAACGAGGGAAACTCCCCTTTTAGGGACAGACCCTTCCTCTCACCCAGTTGTGCGGTCTTTCCCGCCGCTGGACCCTGAGCTGCAAAGCCCCTCTCTACCCTCCCGTGTGGCCCAGTGCCCGCGGCCTTCGCGGCTGTGAGCCCGCCGGCCGGGTCGCGCCGCCGCCGGGTCGCGCCGCCTAGGCAGCGCCTCTGAAGCGGCCTTTCTTTCTCAGGTGAGCCTCATGTTAAACGGGTGGCCGGTGATTTCAGCCTTCGCTGGTGACCAGGACGTGACCCGGGAGGCCGCCAGCAACGGAGTCCTGATCCAAATGGAGAAAGGCGACCGCGCATACCTCAAGCTGGAGCGGGGGAACTTAATGGGGGGCTGGAAGTACTCGACTTTCTCCGGATTCCTCGTGTTTCCCCTCTGACTGCCTCGTAGCCCGCAAGGAGGCAGGGCGAGGGCGAAGGCAGCAGGGGGAGTGAGAAAGAGGCCGAAATTAAGAGGGCAAGAAAGCCCACGACTGGAAACTTCTGTATGTTCCCTAGCTGTATCCGGTGGAAAGGTGCGCGCGGCGGTCAGGCGACTTTGTCGGTTTCCTTGTTAGGAGAAGCAAATTCCGCTTAGCGCTGCGCACTCCCGTTTCCAAAAATAAACTCGCTTCCCCCATTCCAGTTGCAGTAATCAAGAGACTGCCTTGTCATTGTTTCTTACTCCCATGTTCATATTCCCTGCAATTTATTTAAAGAAACTTTGTATTTCACTATATAATGTGAAATCTTTCTCCCTTTCGCCTCTGAATCCTATCTACTGAAATCTAATATGTCCCCCCTTTAATGTGGAGAGGGGGTAAATTTTCTTTTATTGGATGGGGGAGTTACTTTTAATTTGGCTCTTCTTAAAACACCGCTCAAGTTAATTAGCTGAAGATACTTTGTATCCTGGGCTGCTCGTTAGCCGAGAAAGGACTCACCTTAGTGGTGACTGGTTTAAAAAATATATATAAATATATATCATTTGTATATGAAGAACTTTTCCCAGTGGAAACTGGCTGTATTTCCGTATTTCTATGTCCTATTCAGAGTGATCGTGAAATCTAAGGCTGCTCGATGTTCTGATGCTTGTCAATGCCCCGTGCTCTGTGGCTCCTCCAGACGCCAAGGAGGTTCTTCTGGACGCTTCCTCGTCCTCTGTAACATACGTGTGAATAGCCAAGATTTAATTTTGCTTTAACCCAATAAAGTCGAAGTGGGACTTCTATTTTTCTGAAATAGCTTTCGAAACTCCCCATCTTCCCCAGCTGCGAGATTGGGGACCGGGGTTGCCAAAGGTCGAGGCCCAGAAGGGCAGGAGACTTGTGAGAAGGCGACCAGAGAGAAGTTGGGCGGGGGCAAAGGCTTTCTCGAAAAGCCAGCCCTGCACTTCTCCCCGCGCCAGGCCGAGGGCCAGCCCTGCATTCGCCTGTGCTCACTGCTTTGGCACAAATATAAGAAATCTGGAGGATATCTTGCTAGGCCAGGTGCAGCTGCCGGCCTGGGAGCGAAGTTTGAGTTTTTTGTATTCCAAATGCATCGGGAATAATCGCAGTTCGAGGACCCAAACCAACCTGTCCAGAGCGGTGGTCTCCCCATGCTTTCTGTCCCTGGATGTCCCCAATCCTTGTCCACTTCGCAGTTCCCAAAGCAGTATGTTTTATACCACCACCTCTGAATCCGGAATCCACCCTCGGAATTACCCAGCGCCCAGGATGTGTGACTGCGCTCATTCGCAGGACTTTTGTTATTCAAGAGGTTCGTCTAGGAGTTTTGATTGTATGGGAACACAATGTGAAAGCAAAATTGAAATAAAGGACTTCGTTTTAAGTCTGGAAGGCTGACCCGGTCGCTTCTGCAGCGGGGAGGTTGGGAGCCTGAAAGCAAGTGGGTGGCCAAGGGCGCAGGGCGGAGCTGCCGCAGGGGTGGGGGCCTGGAGGTTCTGATCCCATTTAGAGGCTTTTTCATGGCCTGAGATTCAGGGATGAATTTAATTATCCCCTGTGGGTGCGGGGAAGGAAGAAGGTTAATAATAGCACAATAAGCAACATTTCTTGTATTTATTCCTGCAGCTTGTCAGAGTTAGAGATTCATGAGCACGGGCCTTGGTTGAAACCTGGGCCCTGTTTCTCCTCTGCGCAATCCAGGCACCCGGCCAGCAGCCTTGGGGGCGCCCCCCCACCACAGTGGCTGCCGTCCCCAGGGGCCAGGTAGGGACTTGGGAGTGAGGGCCGGGCTCGAGTGCTTTTCATTTTCTGCTGGACACTTCCCTCCTCCCCAGTCAGTCCACAGAGAAGTGGGGGTGAAGGCCCCTAAAAGGAATTTAAAGGAAAACTACCAGTATCATTTTTATTAAGAGAAACGCTTTCTCTGCAGGCAGTCTTTCGGTTGAGAAGGGAGGCCTGGAAGAGCTGAAAGCTCGCAGTGAAACGAGCTTGATCTAACAGCTCTGCCAGGCAGAGCCCGCTCTCAGGGAGTGGCACCGCACACCATGCATGCCCTGGGGGCTGGAGGCTAGCCTCTGCTTAGGTTGGATAGCCACCATTCACAGAAGCTGTGCCCCAATGCCTTGGCACTCGCTGGCTGGGCTGCCAGTGGTTGGTCACCCCTCTTCCTGAGGACAGGAACCTCCAGGGTTCTGGCTGCCTGAGCTGTGGGGCTACCAGGCTGTGTCCAGGCTTAGTGGCTTTGGCAAGTCCCTTCTCTGTCTCAGTTTGCTCATCTGTATAAAGACAGAGAAATCTAAACATCTCCAAGGGTCCTTCCTGCCCAGTGGATCCAGCCATCCTCTGTTCCTGGACCAGAGGCCTGCAGGTTCTTTTGCCTCGGTTAGTGAGTCCTGGCTGCCACCTGTACTGGCCCAGCTGCTAAGTGCGGGCTCCTGAATACTAGGCCTGAGGCTGGGGGAGGAGAAGGATGGCAGGGGAACCAGGGCCTGGCAGGTGAATAGTGGGAACAAGTTGTCCCCAGGTGGGAAGGAGGGGCTGGAGGTTCTCTCTTGATTCTGCTCTGACTCCAGCTGGCCTCTTTCCTGGGGGATGGTCTCCGCCTCCCCAAACATCTGAACTTGGTATTGGAGACCCTTCTCAATCTCAACCCTCTTCTTCCTCCACCTGCTGACCGTTTCCCATGCCCTAGATGAACCTGTCTCCCATTACTGCCTTTCTGCCTACATGCTTGTTATTTCTTTGAAGTTGAAGTACCCTTTCTCTCCTCCACTTTGCAAAATCAAGTTCTGCTGAGGACCTAAGAGTTAAGCTAAAAGGCTGTCTCCTCTGGGGAGATGTCCCGTCCACACAATTTGGGCATTGCTTTCCCAAGGCTCAACACTGTGTCATCACCCTCCAGCCAGGTCTTGTTGGTGCTGGTTGGACAGGAAGACATCTGGGGCTGCGCTTCTCTCACTCTGCTGTGGATTCCATGGGGCGCCCAGAAAGAGCTCAGAAGTGCTGACCTGGTGCTTCTGCCCAGAGGGCTCTGGGGAGATGTGGAGTTCCCTGTCCCCCAGACTGCCCTCATCCTCCTCGGCCTGAGCCTCCCATCAGCCTGAGTGTGGCTGTAGGTAGTTAGTTCTCTGGCAGACCTGGAGGTTAGAGGCCTCCCTTGGGCCTGGCGTATGGCAACTGGGCCACTTCCCTCACCTCTGGGGTGAAGGTGGGGGTGAGTCAACCTTCTGAAAATTAGGATCCAGCTGGAGAGAACCAGAGACTTCAACTGGTGTGCTGAGAATCAAGAGGGACAGAGAAGAAAGGGCCTGCTCGGTACCAGGGGCTAGGGAGGGAGCAGTCCTGAAGCCGCAAGTCACAGGGGCTCCTTTAATGTTTAGAGTCCTCTAGGCCACGGTGGATCTTGGTCCCACCTCCTGCTTTCATCTAAAATAAACCCCTTCAGATCAGAGCCTGCAGGGGTTCTGGGACCACCCCTCATTCAGCCTCAGCCTCACCTTCAAAGGCTCCTCCCCAGCCCAGGGCACCTTGGTTACTTCCTCTGCTCCTGCCTCCACTTAAACTCACCTCCTCCCGGGAGCCTTCCGCACCCAGATAGACAGAGTTGTCACCGCTTGTCTTTGGAATGTGGGCTCTCTTACTGCCCTGCCTCCTCCCTCCCCACCCCCGCTGCATTTCTGCGAGGGTGGAGGCTGTGTCTTACTCTGCTGGCGCCAGCACCCAGCCAGGCCTAGGGGTGTGCGGAGGAGAACGCAGGGAGGCTTCTAGGACCCAACGAGCCCAGACCTGGCTTCTCTGCCCGGGTGCGGGTCCAGCAGGCGAGCAGCGGAGGCGATCACCGTCATCTCTGCGGTCCGCGAGGCAGCACGGGTGCGCTAGCTCCCGCTCCAGCCCGCCCGCTCGCTCCCCTGCCGCTGCCTCGCGGCTGGCAGGGCCGAGAGCACCTTCCAAGCTGCGCCGCGCTAATGCTCGGAGCCTGGCGCTTCGGCTCCTAATGAGAACGTAACTGCTCAGACCGAGACGGAGCCTCACCCTGCTCCTTAATTGTTGCCTTGAAGGGGTGGCTCTGGGGCGCAGTGTGGGGCGGAGGGAAGGGCCAGGACCCTCCCGCCCGCATAGGCTCGGTGCTGGGGCCGCAGACCGAGTGGAAGGCGAAAGACCCGGGCTGCTGATTGTGCACCCTGCACTTGGCGTCTGGCTTTATGTGCGACCTTAGACTACCCTCTCCTCCAATCTGAGCCGTATTTCCCCCAACTCGCAAACGCAACGGGTGGGCTAGAAGTCATCTTAGGGGTTCTTCCAGGCGGGCTTACTTTTCTGATCCATGCGTCTTTGAGTCCAAACCTTCCCCTCCCGGCATCCAGCCACCCACTTCCAGCAGGCACTTGGCCCAGTCCTTGTCACCCCTACAGACATTCAAACAAAACACTGAAACCTATTACTGACTCTGGGTGAGGCCAGTGGTACCCTAGAACTGAAGGTCAAGCCCAGAGGGGAAGCGCGGTCACACCTCCCTTTGGGCTCTTCCCACAGAGGAAAATCGGGTTCCAGGGCAATGACCACGGCCTCTTGATGGCTCTGCACAGGGCCCCTCGCTGAAGATGCAGACATGTTCTGTATACAGACATATTCTCTCTGAGCCTCTCTGTCCTCACATTTCAAATGGAGACACTGCCGTCACAACGGGTGGTTTTGAAGACTGTGCTAAAAGGTATAACAACTGCTCAGCACTGCCTGACACATAGTAGGTGCTGAGTAAATGGCAGCAACAGTAAGGATTAATGGACACCTGGCACATCACACTATCACAAAAATAGGACACAGGGAACATCTGAGTGGGTCCCAGCCACATTGAACAAATGGGAAAACTGAAACCAGAGGAGGGAGGGACAGAGCAGGTGGATGTGAATAATAGACACAGGAAAAGGATCCTGTGTTCTTTATTTTCCCTGCATACTCTTCCCGTCCCCACTCCCCATCAATCACAAGAGTAGGATATTTTACCCGCTGGTGCTTATGTATATATGCATTGACCACTGGGGCTGACTGCTGTCTGTCTGCGTGTCTGCATGCTCCCCGTTAGAGTATGGGGCCTGTTTGCATGTCTGTGTCCCTTTAGAAGGTGAGGTCCTCTAAGGTGGGAACTGTGCCCTCCTCCTTTGCTTGGCCTAGTGTCCCCATAGTGCCGGGCACAGAGCAGGTGTCCTATGATGGTGTCATGAGCTAACTCAAACTGTGCCTGGCGCAATTGCTAGATATGGCCACAGCCAATGAAATCACCCTTCAGGGGACTTCCTGGACCGCTCATCCTGCTCCTCCACCCATCCCCCCATCACTCCCGGGAACCCTAGGCAGACAAAGCAGCCTTCCCAGTCATCTGTACTTGCTTTTACCTCTCCTTCCCATTTCACTCTGAGCCCAGCCTGTCCCCAGGAAGTCCCAGCTGTAACCCTGAGATGGCGGTGAGCAGGGACAGCGAGGAAGAGGCCAGCGTTAGATGTATGGGTTGGTGTTCGGATTCGTTGCTAGGTGTCCTCACTGGGAAAATGCTTTGCTGTGCATAGATGAGGCCGCCTGCACCTCAGGAGGCAGAGAGGAAGCCATGCAGCTGATGGCAGAAAGGCAAGCCTCGTTATTATAAAGAGAGGTCTTCCAGTTGGGTGGCCGCAGCCCAGAGCCTGGGGAGGTCTTTGTTCATCTTGCTGAGCTCTGAAGAGTTGAGGGAAGGGATACAGGCTGCGGGACAAGGGATAGCCCCCTGCCTGATCTGAACAGGCTCCCACCTGACCTCAGGGCTCGGTTTGAGCTCCCCATAACCAGCAAAGCCCTCTCGACCGGCACCGTCAGGGCCGTGCACCCTCTGCTGACCGCCTGAACTCTCCTATTCAGATCGCAGTCTGCCCACAACTCTGCTGGCTGCTAACTCCATGAGGATGGAACCCTCGCCTGCATGCTCCCTGCAGTGTGCCCAGCGCCCGGCACAGTGTCAGAGACAGGAGATGCTCTTTAAATGTTCCTTGAAGGGGCGAGGAAGTGAACACATGAATGTGTGAGCAGATGGATGGAGGGATTACTAAGACTGCATTGTGAGCACGTTTGCCTGGCCCATCAGATGGTGCACTCTACAAAGGTGTCTACCTTATCTGCCTTGTTTAGAGTTATATTCTCAGTGCCTGGTGCAGCATCTAGAATACAGTCATGTGAAAAGTATTTCTTGAATGAATGGATGAAGAGTGACAGGTACTTTGGAAATGGAACTCACTGGGTTGTGAGACTCTGGAGTGCAGGCCTGGCACTGTGCTCCTCTGTAAATCATTCAGTGTTCTCCCAAACAGCCACAGTATCTTAGAATGGAACTGCATGGGGCCTGCTATCTGCAGTTGACCCTAGAG